CACATAGCAGGATCTATATTTGAAAAGGGTGTCTCTAAAGGTGCTGTTGGAGATGAACAGTTTGTTATTAAACCTTACTTAAAAACGTTATTAAAATCACATTATGAGTTGGATGCTCGTGGTAAAGATATTACTAATAGAACTATTGCTGAGTCTGTTGTAATGAGGAGGCATCGCAATGACACAGCAGGGCAGCTTAAGGGACAAGAAAATTTAGAGATTCTGGGAAAAGGTTATCAAAACGAGTTGCGAAAGAGAAGGAAACAAGGGCGCCTGGACGAGACGAAGGACCACCATGGCCGACACACAGAGAACACATACAGTGTGGAGTATTATGTGGAGGAGTACGGAGGAGAGGACAGTAAAAATGTAACATATCCCCCGTTTGTGGAGTACAGTCCTGAGGATGGTCCAGGTAAGACAAGGGATCTTACTGCATCTGTTTCATGTTGATGGTCGCTTGTCTGATGTTCATACAATATATATTCATTTCATACATGCATAGATAGAGTACTCTGCTACATAGTTGTGATTAATGATCACGACCTTACTTTAAAGAGCGTCACACAACTCATCCTCAGAAGGTGTCTATCGAGGTTACAATGTGTGATTTTGGTTTGGTTTGGCTGTTAACTCCGCATTCCAGCTACATGGCGGAAACCTGTGTATAATCGAGTCTGGACCAAACGATCCAGTCCATACATGAGCATCGATCTACGCAAGTCGGATACGATGACATGTGTCAACCAAGTCGGCGAGCCTGACGTAACATACACGACACTGAAACATATTGTGTGTCGGAAAGAGAATAGTTCATCAAATGGGGGCAACTATATGGTACCGGGTCATTCCACCCCAAACACGTTCACCCCAGCACAGTTTCACCCCAACTCGTTTCAACCGGGTTGTTTCACCCCATCAGGTTCAACCCGTTTAGAAATTGTTTCACCCAAGCAAAAAGTATTATAATTATCAACCATAAGATTGTTTCAATATTTTATTCATCTATTTATAGTGTCGAAACAGCATATTCAGATTGTCCAAAACTTGGTACGACTAAGTATTACCTGTGTTGATGGCGATGACAAGTTTCACACTGCAGTCCATCTTGACGACCGTTTTGCTTTAAACTGGTTTTATTAAAACTGTACATAACAGGTGAGGTGAAATGGGATTTAACGTCGTACTTAAGATTATATTGCTCATATGACGACGTGCATGCGTGTGTATGAGTGGCTGCTTGTACTAGCCCAGACGTAAGCTGGTTTTAAAGTGCTAGCTCACTGTGATACAATGCCGCCAGGCACGTAGCAAGTCAATCTATATTGTGTAAGCCCGATAGGTTGCAAAGCTTTATATTTAGATAGTATTGTGTGCTTGCCCAACTTTTTTAGCAGCAATCATGTGTAGGCCCGGGCTTTTTTTTCAATGGTAGCTACGCCTCTGGCCGCAACTAAGCATGGATACCCAACTCAGACACATTGATATTGATTCCGAGCCAATCAGTACTTGTTGTACCCATTAATGAATTGATATTTCTGCTCGATCCTACTCCCATGCAGCTGCTTAAACAAAAATAACTCTTCCGACGCCACCCTCTCTGTTGCCTTTCTCCCCCTCAGTGATGTAGAATCTAACCCTATATAAATATCCTTATTATTATATTTTGGTATATATGAACAGCACTTCTGTCTGCTTCTGTAGTGACAGCCGTGATATATTTATTATAGCCCCAAGTAAATACATTCACAGATGGTCGGCCACCGTGATATTGCTGGAATATTGCTAAAGGCGACGTAAAACTAAACTCACTCACTCACAGATGGTCGGTAAACATTGACCTCGAATTATTATGCCTTATATCAAAGAAATCAATCATATATTGACATGAAATACAAACTACAACACTGGTTGAATGAAAAGAAAAGTGATAAGATCATTTCTTTATTATCCCCAAGGGAAATAGTTTGGTGTTTGGGGTGAGGTCAATTTTAATTAACTGTTAAAACGTGACATGTTACATTAAAAACATCATGAATCCTCCGTAAAATATACAATAGAAAAACAATTAAAAGTTACAATTTAAATTACAGTTTTTTAAAAACACTTGGATGGTGGGTGTGTGCGTCCGTACGCTAAGCTTGCAAGTGAGGGACTGACACCTGATAAAAAGAATCCGTGCAGCACATGCCTCCTCAAGCATTGTTCAGCAGCTCCGGGCGCCGTCGGAGATTACCGAGTTAAATCCAAATAAATATAGGTATTTAGTACTATAATCTGAGCGAGGCGTTGGCAAGTTTAGTCATATTTAAGCTCCAACTGTTTATTTATGTGTGACTGAATGCTCGGATCATCACTGTAGACAACTGTCTCCCTAGGGGAATGGGGAGCTGCGTACATCTACAAGCACACGAAGCAGGAGGAGGGGGAATACAGAGAAGGAAAGAAGAGAAATGGCTTCAACCAACTGGTGAGCGACCGGATCTCTGTTCATCGGCGTCTTCTTGACACCAGGACAGAAGAGTAGGTATAGGAGGCTTGTTTTACATGATTTTCACCAACTCATCAACCCGTGGTGATCCGGGTTGGATCTTCAACATCGCAAGGTTTTGTCACTTTGTCATCATTGATTGATTGAATGATTGATTGATTGTGCAATTTACGCCGCACTCAGCAATATTCCAGCTGTATGGCGGCGGTCTGTTCGTGATACGTTTCGATCAGATTCCCGTTGTCAAACTATGCATGAATTCTTACAGATGCAAGTCACGTGTATATCCACATAAATCTACCAAAATGAAGCAAGAGAGTCAAAGAACAGGCGTGTGATTCCATAACGAACAAACAGACTTCACTAAAAGCACTCTCCTCAGATCCATTCGCACAGAATAAAAAGTTCTTGACCGCTCACCAGGTCATCTCAACTAAGGGAGATAATTTGTATGGCGGCGGTCTGTAAATAATCGATGCAAACTCCATGAATTCTCAAGGATGCAAGTCACGTGTATATCCAGAGAATACACCGAGAAGCGTCATTATGTTTGATAGGGTTATAGTGATTATATATTCTGCATCAGACATCTCATAAGTGAGATAATTCTGATGATCATCAACATCTACGGAGATACGATTAGTGATTATATATTCTGCATCAGACATTGCAGTGACTGACATCATCAACATCGACGGGATACGATTACACACATCAACCATGACTGACATCATCAACATCGACGTGATACGATTACACACATCAACCATGACTGACATCATCAACATCGACGTGATACGATTACACACATCAACCATGCCTGACATCGCCAACATCGACGTGATACGATTACACACATCAACCATGGCTGACATCATCAACATCGACGGGGTACGATTACACACATCAACCATGACTGACATCGCCAACATCGACGTGATACGATTAATTTCCACGCACACATCAACCATGGCTGACATACTCAACATCGACGGGGTACGATTACACACATCAACCATGACTGACATCATCAACATCGACGGGATACGATGACACACATCAACCATGACTGACATCATCAACATCGACGGGATACGATTACACACATCAACCATGACTGACATCATCAACATCGACGGGATACGATTACACACATCAACCATGACTGACATCGCCAACATCGCCGGGATACGATTACACACATCAACCATGACTGACATCATCAACATCGACGTGATACGATTACACACATCAACCATGCCTGACATCGCCAACATCGACGTGATACGATTACACACATCAACCATGGCTGACATCATCAACATCGACGGGGTACGATTACACACATCAACCATGCCTGACATCGCCAACATCGCCGGGATACGATTAAACACACATCAACCATGACTGACATCATCAACATCGACGGGATACGATTACACACATCAACCGTGGCTGACATCATCAACATCGACGGGGTACGATTACACATACATCAACCATGACTGACATCATCAACATCGACGGGATACGATGACACACATCAACAATGACTGACATCATCAACATCGACGGGATACGATTACACACATCAACCATGACTGACATCATCAACATCGACGGGATACGATTACACACATCAACCATGACTGACATCGCCAACATCGCCGGGATACGATTAAACACGCAACAACAACAAACATTGGGCCTTCTAACTAGGATCTACAGTTTGCAGTTATACGTGTTGTTCAAAGAGTTTGGTATGATTGACATATCAATTAAATAACTGACTGACTGACTGACTGACTGACTGAACATGCTCAAGGGGATTAAGAGTTACATGCCTTATACCACCGGTTACACATTCACTGTTTGGTGAACAGACCCGAATTCTGAACAAATTCACTTGCCTATCGTGAGGCCACATGTATCACATGTGCTTCGTTGTGGGGCAGGATTGAAGTCCTAGAAACTCTCAGGAGTCAAGCTTTTACACTGCCACCCATCCAAGGACTCTCCGCGACCAACGTTGTTCACTGATGTCTGCCCTCTGTGAACAGGACCACACATATCGCACATATCGCATCAATACAAACATCTCTCCAAAGTAGGCATGAGAAGAGGAATGGTTTAAACTTTCCAATGTAGAGCATCTTTCCAGCAGTGCCAGTCTTGGTGTTTACATTTTGTGATTTTGTTCAAAATATCAAACAGTTGTCATACGACCCTTGCTCATGATGGTGTCGACGTTTTGTGACTAACTTATATAATGATGAGTTCGTTATGGACAGAACAATTGTGTCAAATTAAAGTGACTTTGGAACTGACTCTTGTTCCGGAAAATTACATCAAGGGCTGCACAATTAATGTATGAACCTTTGTATCCCACAAATCAGTTGTGAAGGCGACCTCGTTGCCGAAATTGCTCAAATTGCTATTTGATAGGCAAATATCAAATTGTGTCACTGTTCTAATACGTTTATACCAATGATTCCACAATTTTACTCAGACCACCTGAAGGCACCGTTGAAAAAGTACATGTCGAAGCTGGGCAAGGTGAAGATTGTCAGACACCGGAAACATCAAGGTCTAATCAGAGCGAGGCTGACCGGATATGAAGTGGCTGCTGGTCCGACACTGGTGTTCCTTGACTCCCATATCGAGTGTTTTCCAGGTGAATATCATTTAATTCTTACAATACGATTTTAAACCGTCAATCACTGAGTGGTCAGGCTCGGGAACCAGCAGATGTCAATCACTCCATTGCCGTGCCTCGATTTAATGGTAATAACTGATTTCTAAAGCGCCTGGTACCCATCGACAGATGCTGAATGGCGCTAGTTAACACCAAATCCATGTACATTTATGCATACAATACTGAAAGTGCAGTTGAATGCTGAGCGGAAGAGGTGTATGTTAAGGAGATAAGTTGAAAAGGTCTTTGGATTTTTGTGTTGCTTAGTTCAGATGGCAGAGAGTTCCATAACAGGGGACTGCAATCTGTGAAGGCACGGTCAGCCATTGTAGAAGTATACCGAGGTTGATTATGTAGAGCCCATTGGAGGATCGAAGTGCACAATTAGGATCGTACATGGTGAGTGCGTTTAGTTTTACGCCGCACTCAGCAATATTCCAGCTATGTGGCGGCGGTCTGTAAATACTGAGTCTGGACAAGACAATCCTGTGATCAGTACCATGAGCATCGATCTACGCAATTTGGGGTACGATGACATGTGTCAACCATGTCAGCTAGCCTGACCACCCGATCCGGTTAGTTGCCTCTTCCGACAAGCATGGGTTACTGAAGTTCAATTCTAATCCGGATCTCCACGGGTGGAAAATACTGGGAGATCGAGACTTTAATGTACGGTGGATAGTTATCATTGTTGAGGAAGTGATGGAGATAATACAGATCTTGAAGATAATTCGAGAGGACACAGGAAGCTAGTGCAATGTCTAGAGAGCAGTAGTGATGTGTTCAGTTCCAGAAATCTTTACGATGCAAAAAAAGTACATGTCAAATTTAACTATTTGTAAAATCGCCGTCCCACTGCGAACTAATGCAAAAACAAAACCAGCACAGGTATAATACATATGTTTCTCAATCTTAGGTTGGCTAGAACCACTGCTAGATCGTATTCGACAGAATCCCAAGAACGTGCCTTTTCCTATGGTGGACAATATTGGTTATGAAGTGTTTGATAATAAAATCATCAACACAACCGAGCGCTTAGGAGAGTTTTCATGGAAGCGATTCATCTTTAAATGGGGGTATGTCCAGGGCGCGAGGAGGAGTCAGCTGAAGACACCGACTGATCCTATCAGGTAAGTTGTATGTTTTTTCTATTTCAATTTCTTCTTGATAAACAATTCTAATTCTAATATATTAATTCTGGGAACCCTTTTCTATTCAACTGAAAGTTGATTTCAAGTGAAAAAACAACATCATTTAAAGAAAATCCATATTAAACTATTCAAAAATGGAACTGATTTTTTACTCAATCATGAAAATTCTGCAAGAAAGAGAACTGCCACAGCAGGATGAGGCTGTGTGATAACTCCCTGCGCCTAGCAGGCTGCGTGAGTTGAATACATCCCAGGGAGTTGAGTTGGTTAAAAGAGTGCCAGAAAATCACTCCAGCGCCTTGAGCATGTACTAGTTGCGTGTATATAAATATCTTATAATATAATAATATTAAATATTAAATTTCTGCAGGAAAAAAAATCCGCAAAAATATTCTGCAGGATAAACGATTCCACCAACCATTTTTGAGCTTATAAACACGAGAACGCGCCGACACATTCATTTCTTTATTCACCTCGTCGTGATCTTTCCACTGTTGTAAATCTGTCTTTGAAGCTTGTGTGTCCAGTTTAGGACTGGTCATTCCTATGTTGTCCTGTTCGGTCATTTTCATCGATGGAGGCAGTTATTGCATAACTGTATGCAAAACTGATTGTCACTGTGTGTGTGGACGAAGCTATACGTCTAAGCCGCCTTATAGCTGAAATACTGCTGAGTGTGGCGTTAAATAACCAACCAACCAACGATACCTCTCAGGAGGGGTCGACTTCATTTAGTTTGAAAGTAAAACAGACTTATTATAATGATGTGTAACTACCACTGCTGTAGCACGAAGGACGGGGTGTTAACGGTGTCAACTGGATTGGCGTGTTTTATCAATCACTTGATTGTCTGGTTTATTTTAGGTCATCGCCGTATGATGGGAGTACTTTTAATAGTACCATTTATAGGTTATTTTGTGAATGACGGGTGCTACCGGTAGGAAAGTAAATGCTTACCCTTTTCGTGAACACCTGGTGTCTTCACTCATTTCCAGTGATTCATTCATATACCTTTTCCAGCTATGTTCCCCCTCTACACCAAACGGAATTTGTTTCTCAGGATAGTCAAGACTGGTATACTTTTTCACCGACTTTCTACATTTTGCTAAATGTCCACTATTAGAGACACAAGCCTTACCCTGATCATAAGAAACCTTTCTGCTCCATATATGTTGACTGCAGTTCCCTTCTCCCTACGGAAGGGAAGCAGCACTGACAGCTATGGCACATCATTCCACAGCTGGTGATGTTCATACACCATTATCGACAAGTCGACAAGCAGTTTAAATGGTTGTACACATATAGAGGTAGGAAAGTGTGTACCAGCTGCGGTCATCGATGCGACAAAATCAATTTCAGAATCATAGGAACTATCCTGAAATCATATTACCGGGAACTGTTCCAACTATATCACAAGAAAGTCTTTAAGAGTAAAGTAGAGATGATAACAAACCAGCCTACCCTGCTACATCGGCGGAACTAGTGAAGATCTGGGTTAGAGTGAGTGAGTGAGTGCGTTAAAATTAACGTCACCTTCGCAATATTTCAGCCATATAGTGACGGAGCCGGGTTAGAGCTGATCAATGTTTGTGGTGTAAGGCGACTAATGCGATCAAGTGCTCAGGCTCCTTGACTTGGTAGTATGTCAGTTGCGTAGATCGTGGCATATGAGTGCCGATTCGATCATTTACAGACCGCCGTGCTGAGGCGTCGTTACACAACAAACAATGAAACACCGGTGATAACTGCTTTTGACACTTCCAAAAGAAATCAAATTGGTCATCTGAAAGGACGCCTTTTGTGGTCCAGGTCTTATATAATTAATTCTGTGAAAACAGTCTAGATGATCGACTGTACAAATGACGATAGCTTGATATCATATTCGCGGCTTAGTGGCGTTAAAATTTGAACCGGCTCCCTTGAGTGAATTATGAAGATCACATGAAAATTGCATTCAAACAGAACAGATGGCATCCATTTTGGCGGCAAATCACTGATATGATGTGATATGTTATGAAATTTTCTGTCTTCTTGCAGATCCCCTACAATGCCCGGTGGGTTGTTTGCTATAAATAAACAATGGTTCACAACTCTTGGAACGTATGACCCTGGACTGGTTTTCTGGGGCAGTGAGAACATGGAACTGTCTTTTAAAGTACGTTTTTGTTTCCAAACCCTTTACATCAGCGAACGCGATATGAACAATATCAGAAGTTCAGAGTGAACAGTTTTAGTGAAATATGTAAAGAGCAAAATTCTGTATTTCGACACTTAGTTGAAGACCTCAACATACTGATCATTTAATAATGACAAGGACGGTCAAGAGTTCATTTTGTGTTATAAGTTCTTCAGTGCGTAAATCACATTATGATAGCATAGGCATAAGATGTAAAATGCCATTACTTAGTACACAATAAGTGTTTAAAAAAAGCCGCAAGTTTTTCTTCTATTTAATGTCTCTTTCATTGTAAGGTAGACTCTCGTTTCCAGAGAATCATACAAACAAAACATGATGTTAATGTGAGTCCGTCTATACCGTACTGGCTAGCGAACAGTTATCGCCGCGTAACAGTTATCAACAATACATCTCTATCACTCGTGCGCAGTTCCGGTCAGATACAATTCAGGTATTTTTCCCCACGGTATTTGGTATTAACAATGAAGGACAGAAAAAATAACTCTTAATGGTAAGTAACATAAAAGAAAATTAAAGATAAAGTTATGAACCCCATAAATTTATTTTCACTTAGTTGGGGGGATGTCACACGACATCATTAATTGTGTCATTTCCTATCAATGTACTGTAAAAGAAACACTCAAATAGTCACACAATCAATTATTCTATGTTCTGAGATGCCTAGCGGTTAGAACAATCGAAAAAAACAAACATTATCAGACAATAAAGGTATAGTTTTTTGATGACGTAACAATTGAATGACGTTATCCCGTCACTGCGCCATTCTAGTGTGCTCCCTCGTAGTCGAACCATTTTACATTACGTCACAATGTAAGCGACGTCGCGATGCATGTCAGTTGTTATCGCCTTGTACGGCCTCCTACAGTAAACTACTCCGATGCATCCCGCTTCTTGGTTTGCAGTTGCTTCACGCAGCTAACGTTTTGCGACGGTTAAAATGTCTCAATTCGACTCACAAGTTTTCAGCGACACGGTAACGTTCGCAATGTTTACATTCCCACAATGCAATCGTGGAATGTCGCTTGACTACTTCGCTTCATCCGGATGTACTGATCTAAACTTACGTTGGTAGTAGAAATGCGACATTCATATTGCCCCGTATGGTTTACGTTAATCACAGATGTAATTTAAAAAATTCAGAGAAGATATTTATTCCGAACGTAAACCGTCATCAAACTGTTATCATTTAGTTTTTTTCTGGTAACGTTCGTCTTAACGTAGGGGGATAGACACATCAATAGAACAGCGCGCCAGTTAGCCCTGTGCGAGGATTCTTAATTTAGGTCACCGACACCGTCGTTTGTTTTCTGCCTTAAATTATTCGTAATTATCCTTAGAAAGTATTAAATTTGACATGTTAAAACTATTATAACGTTAAAGCACTCGGACGCAAGCGTCCTGGTACTTTAACTATTATAGTTCAGGGCGAAAGTGTGTATTATTACACTATACATGGTGGTAGAGCGAACTGTATTTCTTAATTACTGTATGATATAAATATATATTATTCCACAAATGACATGAGAAATTCCGAATGGCGATAACTGTTACAGTTAGTTGTGAGAAAACATCTATTTATACCGCCATGATTCCCTTCCGCCGCATTATATAAAAACATGATCGGCGGCAGTGAACGGGCTGGACACATCGGTGAATAGCTAATTAAGTATCATAATTAATTCTGATTCATTAATTTAATGAACGACGGAGTAATTTTGTAAATACCGCTAAAATATGGCGATAACTGTTCGGTAGCCAGTAGCATGTAATCAAAAGTGATAGATCTTAATATGGCATATGTTATCTCTGCTGCTATAATTTAAGCAACTGACCAGGTATGATACCTGAGACCCGTGAAGACCTGGTTTAGAATTAGGATATATTACTGTGCCTTCAGGAACCCTTGCTTGTCGTAAGGGGATCGGGTGGTCAGACTTGCTGACTTAGTTGACACATGTCATCTATCCCTATTGCGTAGATCGATGCTCATGGCACTGATCACTGGATAGTCTGGTGCAGATTCGATCATTTACAGACTGCCGTCATGTAGCTGGAATATTGGTGAGTGCGGCGTTAAACAACAAACCAACCAACCAATCGTTCCTGTCATGATGGAGTGTTATACTAAATAATAAGACAATCAATCGTTTTAATTATTTTCAGATATGGATGTGTAATGGGACCCTGGAAACACTTCCTTGTTCTCACGTGGGTCACGTGTATCGCTGGGTGAATCCTGTGAAATGGAAGCCTGGTGGTCTCCCTGTTTTCACAAACGCCATGCGGGTGGCAGAAGTCTGGCTTGATGATTACAAGCATCTGTTTTATGAGGGGAATGTCGTGCCACAGGTGAATTTCATACATGTATATGCTTGTTTTGTATAATGCTACTCCTGAAGGGGCCAAGAGGCTTCCTTTATTAACTGGTAATACTTTCTCTGAAGCCACATAGAATCTGAGATGTACATCGTCATGTTCAAATGACGGACTCGTCGTCTCGTTCTGTTCCACGTGCAAGGCATTGAATTCTCTCCCTGTAATGACCAAAAACAGGATGTACAAACTATAGATAAACAAGCATGTTACCATATTTCTGAGTGTCTTCTACTGCTTGTGTCGACATTGTTAATTGTTAAATGTTCAAAAAAGTCCTTTAAACATATGAAGTCAGTCATTTTGATTATTTAAGTGTTTCTGACATGAGCAGATCAGGAATATTGAGCGTTCCTTCCACGCAAATAACCGTGGTACAGAACGTGGTTTAGTCCAGTCAACGTGGTTGAAAATCGGGTGTCAGAACCAAAACGTGTCTCTCAACAATCCATCCGTACTCATTAAAGGGATAACAGAATATTTGAACATTGACCAACAGGACGTAACATCCTCACGTGACATCTCAGACAGCTCCGATGATGTAATTGGCATCGTATAAGGCTAATGAAATTGTGGGGAGCATTCCTGTGTACTGTGAAGTTACAAATCGATGACATGGGTTGACAGGACGAGTTGATGAGTGCCCACCTGTGTAGATTGTCCTATCGTACTCATGATTGCATGGGGAGGTATTCATCATAATATACTTCCAGATCAGGTCCTAAGCAATAATTGCACAATGCCTTGTTATGTGGATGAGACGTCAAAACGTCCTGGTGTTCTGACTTCCAAACGATGGTGCGGAAGGAAAGACAACACATACCCCAGTGGCCGGGTTCTCGGTGATTTCCTCTGAGGAAAGAAGGTATAGGCCGTTAGCAAATTCAGGCTTTCTCTAACATCTTTGACTGATATTTACGTCAGCAGAAACTAACCAATCATGCCCAGCGCTGCTCACATCAGAAGGAATTGCAGAACAGGGCACATTATTGACTTTAACTGTATCTGTATACTATGCTTTTGCTTTAGCTGATGTTTGTACTGATGAGGAGTATTGCTTTCCCTGCAGGGTAGAGACTATGGTGATGTTACCGACCGGAAGAAATTACGGGAAAGTCTTAATTGTCACGACTTTCAGTGGTATATAGAACATATATACCCAGAGTGTCCTATCGTCAAGGTCTTGAATGCAGGAGAGGTAGCGACATTACTTTCAGTATTGTTTAAGTGGCGAACCCACTCTTTACATTAATATGATCATGTGGTAATACATGTATGTATCACGTCTTCCATTGTGGGCAAGACCGAAAAGATGAGCCTTCAGTAATCCACGCTTGTGGTAAGAGGCGACTGACCGGGTCGGGTGGTAAGGCTCGCTGACATGGTTGACACATGTGTCATCGTATCCTAAATTCGTAGATCGATGTTTATAATGTTGATCACAGGATTGTCTGGTCTATTTCGAATCGCCGCCATATTGCTGGTATGTATTGCTGCAATAAACAAAAATCCACATTGGACAGGACAACATGTTGTTGTAATTCCATTGCTAGTAATTACCCATTCTTTCTTCAAGAGGGGCAAACAACCAGGCTACAACTTCTAATCACATGAATATTATGTAGATATGTATGTTACAGGTTCAGAACACCACACAAAAACATCTCAGGTGCAAATATATATACCTCGGTTTGGATTTTTACCCTTATCATAGATGATCATACATTAATAATACGTCAATTATTCCCCATTATGACACACACTCGCATATTTTTGAAACAATTACATATTTGTTGAGGAACCGTCTCCATTTGATTTAAAAGTAGACTAACATGACGATCAATCTTGTTCCCAAATGCATCCCCGAATAGAGACCTACATTGAATGTAGTAGAAGCAGTAGTTAAACATTAATTGTATCATTATGCTGACAATCCGTTGATAAAATATATGTTATTTATAAACATTTTAGTATACGCGTACTGAACAATAGCCCATTATACGTATATATGATCAGTAAACTGAGACCATTCTCCCACAGATTCGAAGCGTTTCCCACCAAACTTTGTGTGTGAGTGCGAAGAGCAGAGACGGAACAAACTTCCATCCTTGTCATGGCAACGGACGGGATCAGGTTTGTACATAGGGCTCTCCATATTCCATAACATGTTGCATGCCTGTTTTTTAATATTTTTGTATTCTATGTTTTTCTTATCAGCCATGTACCTTTGTCTTTTCAAATGTCTGTACTGAGAATTTGGAATACTTTACTTTGAGCCGTATTTCAGTTGCATCGTCATGTACACATTGGTACAGTCTGGCCTTTCAACTACAATAAAAACACAATTTCTGGCTAACTTTCCGAGAACAGGAAGCTGAACTCATCAACCCCAGTTCCGCACCAACTGTCACCTACTCGAAAATATCTGTACACACATGCGCATACGTCTCGGTGATTAAACTGACAGCACTGAATACTTATAATTGTGGTCAGTTTTATTTACTGGATGGATGTGCTTTAAAACAAATATAACTTAAAGCATCTTACACTATTTCATCCAGTCATAGCTGTCACATGTCTCTATCTCTTCAGTTGTTTAAATACGCACTGGCTCAGAGAGCAAGTGATTCTGATTTAGTGTAGTAGAACCTAAAGCCACGTTAATTGACACGTTGGGGTTTGTGGTACGCTCAAGGGACGCAACGAGATAATGCGTTTTAGACCAGTGAGCATGGTTAACTGACTTAACAGCTAAACAACAAGCCGTAACGTTTTCTTAAGGGACAACTAATACAATACGAACAAGGAAGACATTTTTATTTATCGATCATGCCAGGCTTTGAGCTTATTTTAAAAAAGAAAAAGTAGTATATTAAACTATTCATACCATATTTCAATTTCGAGATTGTGCGTTTGTTTCAGTATTGGAAGTTATACCCTAGTGGTGTGTTAGAAGGCGCTGTGAGCCAAAGACTGTGTGTGAGGGGAGGGAAGATCACTAATTACCGTTGCAACATGGATGACCTGCTCTTCTGGACCTTCACGGAGGTGTGAACCTTTCCTGTCCTACAGCAGCACAGTGGGCATTGTGCTTATATTGCTCAAAACTCGCCGACAGCTGAAGGCGTGATATAGGTCCAGCTAGGGTCCATGCAGGTGGCAAAAGTAATGTAAGTCCCCATGGTCCCTAGCATGGTGATCTATCTTCAGTTGCTGACGGTATATTGCCTGATTTTATATTGTGTTGTTTGGAAATGATTAAGCATTTTACCGTTAACTCAAACTAGTTTTAATTTTATTTTAATTTAAATATTATTTGTGATAATCTAGTTGTTATGCTCAGCTCTTTAAATATATATATATATATATATATATATATATATATATATTATCAGCATAACTATTTGTCGTCACGATATGGCTAAAATAATGCCGATGTGACGTAAAATTTTAACTCACTCACTCACTCGAATTCAATCAAATGTCCACTCAAAGGTGCTCAACTCCAAGTAAACCTTAAAAGATATTCTCCTAAATGTGTCTCCAGATGTCAAATGCATGTCTATAATGACATCAGGATGTCTGTACATACACCCAAAACTTAGGGTTTTGCGCAGTTCTCACATTTAGGATTTAACCGATACTGTTTGATCTTCAGGACGGGTGCCTTCACTTGAAAAACTCAGACAAATGTTTGACAGCTGGTGAAAATTCAACAGTTTGGGTGAAAACGTGCGACGGGACTGCGAAACAAAGATGGATATTTGAGAAATCAAAGTTTCAGCTTCATAAAACATAAAACTGTTTGAAATGTACAATGTATGTATGATATTGTTTGTGAGTTGGATGGTTGTGTGACATATTGTTTGATAATGAGAAAGTAAACTCAAATTTGTAACGATCTGCAAGAACAGCAAACAAGCCGATATGACTTCACATCTGTGTCAGTTTGTCGTCTAACAGGAATTCGTTTAAATTATTTTCTGACATAAGAATATATTTCATCGGAAGTTTACATCTACATTGTACTTTGTGTAAAAAATAAAATGTCAAGACCTAAGATTTGCTCTTCTTTGGATGCGAGTAGGGTTGGCGAATTATTCTCTCCACAAGAATATTTTTCCACAAACATGTGTTGATAATACCCTGCCTGATCATCATTTAATAGGCATCAAATGATGCTGAGATACATTGAATTCTTTTCATTAAACAACCAAACAAGCCCTTTGTTTAAAAAAAAGACAAAGTTTATCAAAGACGAGACAAAATTGAAAAAAGATTAATTATTATATAATGATATTACTAATGAGTAATTCTATAGCGCTTAATTCCATACACCAAATGCATGCACGAAGCGCAGACAAACAGACAGGTCATTATTACCCCGGGTAACCCAAGAAGGTTATAGTCACATGACTTATCCCACCGGGTATCCATTTTCGGCTGGGTGAACAGAGACATGTATGAACTCACTTGCCTTAGGTGACATCACATGTGTTTCGTTTTGGGGCAGGACTGAAGTCCTAGAAACTCACAGGAATCAAGCTGCCGTACACGGTCACCCACCCAACGTTGCTCAACTCCAACTGATTTGTGACCTGAGCTCTATGCACAGGACCACAAGCTAATGTATTGGTTGTTGAATGATTTTATCGTGAAATGTACTCCTGGACGAGAAATACAAGAATAATAACCGTTAGCCATAATTCGCTGTCACTTTTCTGTGACTTCAGCCATGGAAACATACTCGCATTTATTGCGATATTTGGTCTCTCAGTAGCCGATATTCCAGTGGCCATTATGACTAATGTGAAGGTAACATGACATACACGCACTGACCATGATTTCACTTCCATAGTCCAGATACATGTATGTATAAATACAACACATCTGGCATCGCCATAGAGCAACTACTTGGAATCTTTGTGTTAACACCTGTACTACAGCTACGACAGAAGATGTCCTATGAATAATGGTGTAAATCCGTAATATTGTAACTGACAAGACTATGTCTTCATGTACGACACTATTTCAAATGCACATTGTATGTCTAACTCTCTTTTCTCACCTGCCGAATTTGTCACTTCTCGGTTTAACGTACTGTTTGCATAACAATATACATTAAATCTAGTTTATGACGTGATCGATTGAACGTAGTTCAACAGGGAGAATTTTGCTACAAAGGAAACCAAGATGAACTATTCCACTGGACGAGAAGCTAGTCAAAGACCGTGCAGTAATTACTGAACACGGTTGGACTACTTACTCAGTCCTGAAAAAGACAAGGGAATTCCAAATCACAAATAATCCAGAAGCTTTTTATCTAATCATTTAATGCGTACATTGGCAAAGGTCTATCTGCATTCATGTCCGAATACACCACACGCAGCTGACCTCAGATAACAAAGGAAGCACAAATAACTCAAACACTCAACAACTTACCTTTCAGAAACTTATCGACACATCCTTATAATCGCCAGTTATATAAAAAGCCAATTGATCAGTGATACCTAATCGTCATAAATGTACAGCTCCGGACTCTCTGTAAACTGGTTTTCTCCATAATCCGGACTACTCTCTGAGTCCTGGCAAAATTGTTCTTAATTTATCATTAAAGCTTGCTATATAATCCGGACAGAGAGTCCAGATTACGGATTGCGGACGAAAATATCAGTCCTGATAATAACTTTCTATGAGAACAATGCTTTGTAATCCGGACCTACATGTAGCTGACTAAAATAACAGTACATTGAATAAACATCTGCTATCATCTTTCAAAACACTGACACTGATGAAGTATCGGATGAAGAGGTACAAGAAGTAGAAGTTGAAGGTGAACAATTTGTATCTGATTTGTGTCATGTGAAAGTCTTGAAAATGTTGAACAGAGCTACAGATATGTTTTTGGGTCATTGAATTATGTGCTCCTTTGTGTTCATCTCAATGTGTATCATAATTTTTTTTTGAGTAACCAAATACATCATACCCACCTTACTCAAAATGAACTGGGTATTTTGCCGTTTTCCATTAATTTAAACATAGAATAAAGTTTAAATGTTTGTTTACGCGTGTGTTATTAATATTTGATCCGTAATATGGGAAAATATAAGAAAGACTGCAAGTTGCCAAGATCATGTGCTGGAATAGAACCTCATAATAACCTCAGTTATTCTATCTATCCTCAGTAACCTCCATCTGTAGAGCATGGGTCTGCTTTCTTTAAATTCTGGTAGGTTTGCTGAATGTTACAGTATGCAAGCTAAGATTTGACATTTTGGTGTATTTGGTGTATTTACAAAAATTCAAGCGTACTTGTACGCAATATACTTATTTAGAAATTGAGTTTTCACATAAATATTTGCGCAATTTACGCATATACGCAGCTTATCTGTACCTCTGTTTAAACATTAGACAATATGCAGAGAGTACTGGTTCATATATCCTCGACTGGTTCCGATATCGTCGCTCGTGTTCTCAATTTGGAAGACATGACTACAAACATTGTGTTACGTGGAGATTTACAAAAGAAGCAAACAAATTTAATATACTTTTTCCAATGAAAGTGAACTTATTTATCTTATGCCATAGATTATATCTTTATTTTGTTTGCCAAATATGTGTGTATTGTTGTATATTACTACATGTATTGAGTATAAATAAAATAGCAAAATGAAATATCCAAGTTGTTGGTTGTCATTAACAAAGGGAAGTAATTCATGGCAGTGTCTACGGTAACGGACAAAACTTGACTAATCCGGACTGTTGTTATAATCCGGACAAACATGTCAGTCGCAGGACAGTCCGTAATAGACAGATTCCACTGTATTGTCAACTTCTGATATCTTCTGTTACTTTGGTCGGCCATTTTGACGTCTTGCACCGGCTGTAAACATATTGCGGTACGTTATTAATATAGCTTAATTACAGAGGCATTTTAAGCCGACCTTTTTTTAAATTTTATGATGGCATCATTCTGACAAATATGTTCTAAACACACTACAACGAATGTGACTGTGAAGTAAGTGACCTCTCGTTTGGGGAAACGGTTATTTTAGCAAAAATGCAGTTGCTTGTATGGCTGTCAGTGTAAATATGGGTTAAACGTTACCAAATATAGGAAAATGTGTTTCTATCCTTTGATTGAAGAATTGTGTGAGTGTTGGAGGCTCCCGGAAGACCAGACAGACATGCCCCTTCACAGTCATTCTTCAATGTTGACCTTTTGTGTTTCACATTGGAGTATGAATGAATGTTCACAGAGTGTGGACCAGACAGTGTATGGAGCTTGTAAGGTCTGCCGTGATACATCCCATTCCTCATTCGGAAGAGGTTCGCTCGGCAGTGGGGAAGCCTAGTAATTAAAGCATTCGCTCGTCACGCCGACGGCCCTTTTTCGATTCCCACATGGGTACAATGTGTGAAGCCTATTTCTGGTGTCCCCCGTCGTTATATTGCTGGAAAATTGCTAAAAGCGGCGGAAAACCACACTCACTCACACGATGGAGGTTTGCACCTCATACAACTCTCAGAATATGTAGTGGTAGTGTACTGTTAAGAATATAATCGTCTTTTCTGGTATTAAACAAAGGACGAAAATACAACAATATGAAACATAAGTCAGAGTTGTCAATGATTACAACGACGCCAAGCCCGTCCATGCATCAGCTGCTACGAGTTTAGCAGGACTGTGGAACTGCATTTGAAAGAACTTCCGATTACCGATTACCTGTCACCAGTGCTGTAATACGTTTCTTGGAGTCCACGGCCTTCTTAAGTCAAATTAATTCGGTACAGTTAAGTACAACCGGCCTGTAAAATGTGTTACCTGTAAAGAAATCGATACCAGCTATATGCACGATGGATTCATATTAAACGTGCGGATGGTTGGGTATTGAAGAGTATAGCTCTTTCAGACCCCATGCCGAAGACCCGGGTTCTATTCCCGGCAGGGCGACAATATGTAAAGTCATATCCGATGTCCCCAGTTGTGAAGGTGATAGAATCGCATTGAGAGCTCCGTATTACCATATTCACTCACTCACTCAGTAGGCTAACAGATCTGAATAAGTACATCCGCACTTATATGTTACTCATCCAGAATACAAAACACCACGAGAGTGGGCCAACGAAGAGAAATGAATGAAAATATAAAACTAGAAACAGTGTTGTTTTTTCACGAATTATGTAACTCATTTTATGAACCTTTAAGGGTTCGATTTCTGCTTAAAGTCTTTGATCTGGTGCACATGCACCAATAGCTGTTGAAGAAACTAACATAGTACATATACAACTGCATCATGAACTTCGTCACATGAAAACAAAACATGGCTAAAAAGGCTTGTACATATTCTTTAGGTAGGCGTAAATATCCGGAATTTCACCTCTCTAAAGTGACTAATTAAACTAGAATAGATTAAAAAGAAGAGTGTAACAGCATGAAACGCATGTGTATGTTCACATGAAAATATAAGATGTTCATCTTACTGTGCAATGAAAATTCAGCATATCGAACCACTGCTTCAATTAATGGCCAAACAGCGACTTCCCTCCACCTGAGTTAACTATCTGAACACTTCAGCCCCTAACACAGTGATCACATAGGACAAACATTAGATAACACATCATGCATTCATTTAGGATTAGGGTAACTTCTTATTACAAATCAAATTTGAACACATTTGATACAATCGTTAATTTTGAACTGGGCTACTTCTGGCAGTCTGGCGTGAGTCTTCGATTCAGTGTTATATCTTATTAATATGAAGCCCGTATTTGTGATTGTTTAGGCCCTTAATCCATTTGACTTGCACATTGATACTATTACATGTATTGCATGATCTAAGTACACACTCCATGTGTATATGATATTGTTACAAGCTGGCTCGTGTACTGTCGATATATAGATATTTATATTCATCATATTTCCGCTGCCGTTGTTGTCGCGCATGCTACATCCACTGGAACTCACTGGGGTCCATCTCAAAGATATATTAACATATGCCATCAAAGTTTGGAATAATGCATGTTAAACCCAATATGTGTAATAGATGGAATGTGAACCTTGTACAGCGCTCATTGAAATAAGCATGGTGATCTTTCAACGCTCTCTGAAAATAAGAATTGTGTTGATAAAAATGTTGACAAGGCCCCTACAGGAAAGCACCGGCTGCGCAAAGTTCGATGACTTTTTACTGAATCGGTATTAATAACTATTTAGTGACGGCATTGGCTGCAGGATTTTCCTTGCGGACCGGCAGTGTGTCACTGTGTGCTAATGACATCCCTTGTTCTTCACTTCATCATTAAGATGAAGCTTCATCAGATGCAGCTAATTCATGCAGTAGTTGTCTGCCTCATGGTGGTATGCATATATACAACGAACATACTGCTGCAAGCTGCCGTCAATAATTTGTTCCATGACACTGGGTATTTTGCTCTGAAAACTGAAAAGGGTGGAAGTGCCGCTAACCAAAATAGTCATCAGGAAGAGGTTTACATGATGGTGAGAAATAACCTGAAGCGTGAGCCCCCTGACAACGAAACAGAGCAAAGTGAACAACTGAAACACAGCATACACGGAGTGGAGTATTTCGTGGAGGAGTACGGAGAGGAGGACAGTAAAGAAACAAATCCACCGTTTGTGGAGTACAGTCCAGGAAATGGTCCAGGTAAAACGTAGGGGTAACTGCTTCTTCTTTTTTTAAAATTAATGCTCTAAGATTCTTCTTTGTAAAATGCTTACACTGATTTCTATCACCATTTTATCTGCGTCATTTATTGAAGCAAATGGCAGATGCCTGGACTGCGTGACTGGAAATAAAGTACAAGTAAGTTTTGATGCTGATCATTGTTGGTGAGGACTTTGGGTATAACTTGGTGGCTGTGGTAGATCACTGTCAAAGCAATGCACTATATGTTGCATGCCATTATTTATACTTATATATTACATTTAAATAATTATTATACCCGATTTTTCCACCAGGTGAATGGGGAATCGCTTTCAATTACAAGCACACAGCATCAGAGGAACTTCAATATATGGACGGAATAAAGAGAAATGGATTTAATCAGCTTGTGAGCGATCGGATCTCTGTACACCGACGTCTGCTGGATAACAGACTTGAAGAGTATGCATGTTTGTTTTGCACTGGACAAATCGAAATTTCGAAATTAATCGTCTGCGAAAACGGTGGGATCAGAACATATGCGTTATGTCAACATGTACGGGACGCAATGACACAGACGAGAATATCTATTTCATAAGCAAAATGATCCCATTTTACCACCGTTTACCACCTTTAAATGAACAGTTAAAACTGTTCATTGAAGATTAGTGTTATGGCATTTAATGTTCGTATCTTTACATATGTTCTGTATTCCAGTAGCAGGTAAATGAAAGTTTAATGTTTAATTCTTTGGAATAATTGCAAACACAGCTGCCCGTCAACATATTTCGTACATTCCTCAGATGCAAGTCACGTGAGTATCCAGCCGACCTACCTCCAGCTAGTGTCATCATCTGTTTCCATAACGAGGCTTGGTCCACTCTCCTCAGATCCGTCCACAGCGTCCTTGACCGCTCCCCGGAACATCTCATAAGGGAGATAATTCTTGTTGACGATGCCTCCACTCAAGGTGACAGAATACACTAGTTCCTATGATTTACGGAGGTTACACAAGCTAATTGTGAAATAAGTTAGCTCAAGGTATATATAAGAATAAATTGATCGTAGTATTTAATCTCCCATCGAATATAATAACAATTACTCATCATCACATATATGGTAGTTCATTGTAAGATTCACCCGTGAAGATCCGGGTTAGAATTGATCTTCAGTAACCCATGATTGTCGTAAGAAGCGACTAACTTGACCGTTGGGCGGGTTTGCTGACTTGGTTGGCACATGTCATCGTATCCCAATTGCATAGTTGCTTATGGTCAAGATTCGATTATTTACAGACCGCCGCCGTATGGCTGGAATATTGCTGAGTTCGGCTAAACTCACACAATAGCATACAGTAAACACTTCCAATAATTTCGTTTAGACCGAAACACGAATATTAATACATCTGAAATATCACATACTTCACTTAATACCATTTCGGGCGAAGTATAGGTTTCGTGATTGCAAGATGTCACGACAGTTCAACATTACTGGGTGAACCACATTGATTCTCAACACACAACAAGACAAAAGATATCGATAGTCTTTACCTTAATACCGACTACGAATACAATCCCAGAAACGCAAGTCCTGTGATACAATAGTCATGGGCTCAAGGAATGCTCAACAGATTTTTAACACAAAATACATGTAGATCCTTAAAAGTCGAACGAGATACTTGTCTTTTGAGCAGAAAAGATATGAAGCTAACCGTAGTAAGTAAACCTGTTTAAATCAAACACCGATCTTTGACGCTATGCAGACTATCTGAAAACACCTTTAAGAAACTACATGTCCAAACTGGAGAAGGTGAAGATTCTGAGACACAGGAAGCACCAGGGTCTAATCAGAGCGAGGCTGACCGGATACGAAGTGGCTGTTGGTCCAACACTGGTGTTCCTAGACTCCCATATCGAGTGTTTCCCAGGTAATTAATTTCACGTCGAGGTTGAGCCAGGGGGGCAAGCTTAATAATCTTGCCAGCATTGCTATAATGACAGTTAAAGTATCTCACTGGCGATGGGTGTGTGCTTGTCCTTCGTTAACGTTGTCAATCTTTATTTAAAGGATGTTATATTCAATACCAACCTGACAAAATGCAGGCTTCATTAACTAGTTCGTCTCATTTAAACTTTAGTATAGAAAATGTCAAGAAGATATACCCCATTCCTGATCCGAAAGAAAGTTTATTGTATGGTACACGTATGACTATATCATGCGTATGTGTTTGTTTGACGCTGCATTAAGCGGTATTAGCGCTTTTAGACGCAGTCTGTAAATAATCGAGTCTGGTCCAGACAATCAAGTGATTAACACCATGATATATTATGATCATTAATCATAATGGCATTGACCACAAGGAACAACGGCATATCCATATCACTTGTCCGCGAACTCGATCAGAAGTAAATTATGGTTGATAGTTATGGTGGTAAAATTTGACATTATGAACGAAAATAGATAGTATTTGCTTGCAATGCTATTCAGTTTATATCAGTAAGGAAGCAACCCTTATAACACACAACACCCTTCCTATATCAATTTCAAAGACCTGCTTAAAGAGTCCATTCCAGAGTACCGACTATAACATGACATGTGTGTATAAATCAGTATCAAATGATGAGCGTACCCCACTAAACCGATGGTACCCGTCAACTGTTCACGTGAAATGTACTGGTAAATTCAAAATAGGGAGGCGCATTGGATGCTCCAGATGTGGCAATGTCCATTATCATGTCTACCATTAAATGTTCTGAAAGCTTTACTGGCGCTTTGAATTTTTTCACCTTGCTCATGTCCACGCTATTCCTGACTCCAATATCAGCAATCCGGAGTTGTTCATGGCCCATATCACTCGCGTGACAAATATAGATGACCATCAACGTTGACACGAAACAGGGCTCCTATCCGCAAAACGTTCGTAGCGTAATCCTATGATGAACTATAGAGTTACGACAGGTCCTAATGTTACGAAAGCTTTGTGGATCAGGACCTGGAACTCTATTGTGCAAGGAAATGAACAGTCACAGACAGTTGTGTGAAGCACCCGCAGATAAAACATAGATTTTAACATGTATTTCTAGGCTGGTTGGAACCACTACTAAACCGTATCCGGGAGAACCCAAGGAACGTTCCCTTTCCAAACATTGACGTAATCAGTTCTAAGAGCTTTGGTACAGGCAAGTCTGGAAAGACAGAACAGTTTGGAGTGTTCAGGTGGAAGATGCTGCAGTTCAACTGGGGGAACCTCAGCAACGAGAGGAAGAGCAAGCTGAAGTCACCTGCTGACCCCATCAGGTAGGAGGTAGCCTTGTTGTATTTTCGTTATATACGCGTGCCTGGTATACCATAGTTCATTCGAACTTTGCTTAAATTACGATATTACTTAAACACAAAACCATTTTTGCTAAATTTCACCAACGCGGAGACAACTCGGGGCTTTATTACATCATATTTTTTCCGCATCCAGCTGACATTATGTGATCGATCCGAGGCAAAGTGATCAAATACAACTTGCCACTACACCGTAGTAATGTAATTTCAGCATGTTGGCACTTCTCCAGTCGGTAATATCAGTTAGACATGCTGATTCTGACTATCCCCGATTTATTGCACGGTATAACTTTGTAAATGTGTTTATCATCTGCATTGACAATGTTTGATAGATCACAATGGCGATATATTTCACACATGGGCGTAGAGCATTGGCAGTACATGACTGGCCCGAGGTCGGATCCTTGTGCTAAGCCAAAGTTGAAGATGCTGATCCTTTTGCAATGTATCGAGTTTGTCTCCATATGAAATATATGAAACGTGTTTGTGCATAACGACGTTTCAGAGTCTAATTCCGCACCTGATGGAGGAGTAGGAATTATCTCTGAGGCTTCGTGTGAAGAATAGAAGCAAGTTGTTATCCGTCAAAACGTGTCACATATTCATGTTAGTCCAACTTCTAAATGCCTCTCAAGAACTGCACATGTAGGACTGGAACCAAGAGGGAACATTGCCTGATACTCTATAGCTGTATCGAAGGCGAAGGATCAGTATGTCTTGGTAGGTCAGTTGAAAGGCAGCGGTGGTCAAGAAGCATTAGTGCAACGGAGCTCTTGTTGCCCTGTGCCTATGCAGTCTCAGGGTGAATCCATGGAAGTACTGTCCCTGTAGAGTGACCTATTTCTTAAGCTGACTGAACGCTTATGGATTTTGCAAATTGCAAGATGACGTTGGGGGCGATTTTACGAAGGTTTTGAGCATGAATGTGAAGTCAGACACTGGTCTATAATTCGCCTGGTCGCTTTGTACAAGTCAACATTCGTCAGCACTGCCCTCACATTGCTCCTCTTGTAACATACGGGACTCCATCAAAGATTCCTTTATAGTGGCGTCCGGCCATGCGGCAGAAACTGTTGTCTCCAGTCGTAGAAATCATAGTCACGAAGAAGTAGATTGACGTGTGGGCAGGCAAGCAGGAACGTTTCACCCGATTTGCGTTTGCGTGAACCGTTTGTGAGCTGTATTGCATTCAGTGATTATGTCACAATAATAAACCTTTTTGTTTCAATGAGAGATGTTTCTGCTGGTTTACGCTAAATACTCATAGAGCTGAAGATGAATACACAAGTTGTTGCAACGCTAATGGGCTTTACGACGTCAATTCCTCAACATTCTAAGCTCACTGTGTACGAGTGAGCATTTTGCTTCAGTGTAATTCCTTGAGGAGGAACATGACCTTTGTCCTTTCTGTAATATCCACCGTACTTATTCTGAGTTTAGTTTCATGTGTGCCTGGTGTATCCCTTTCCACGTGTTTAATGCAATGTATTCTTCCAAAATACGATTGCACATAATCGTGGAATGCAAGGTTTGAGATCGTATTTTGTATGCATTTTGATGCATTGGAAATACTAGCTGAATTCATCTGTCCAACCGTAACGTATTCTAAGAAAGTGCCAGTATTGTGATTACATGCTCACAGGTGTTGGATATGCACACTTTTTGGGTTTGCAGATCTCCCACAATGCCCGGTGGGTTGTTTGCTATAGACAAGCAGTGGTTCACAACACTTGGAACGTATGATCCGGGACTCTTGTACTGGGGCGGTGAGAACATGGAACTGTCTTTCAAAGTACGTTGTAAATTACATTGAATGCCTTTAGGTTATGTGCAACATTTGTATTTCCTCGAAGCGGGATAAGATTTCATTGTTACTGGCTCCGCATATCACCACTTCAGAATCCGGCGATAATCCGTTTGCAACGACGCATTCAGATGTTTGAAACGTACATTTCTTTTTGTGAAAAAAATGAGAACAACATTTAGGCAGGATACACTCTTGTGTCCGCTAACACCAGTCCTGGTGAAATCACTCTAGCCTACTACATCAACATGATATAATCGGAATCGTAAAGTGTTGTTTCGATGTTCTTTCATCATCAGATTTCACTGTCGGTCCTATTAGGGGCGTCCTCGTCTTTATTACATGGATGCTATGGAGCAAATATAGGTGTAAACTCGCTCTCATTTTTCGAAGTCGAACCTTCCTCGAGAATAACCTATTTGGAAACTCACTTTCGAAAAAAATGGGAAATGAAACAGTTAAATAACAGTTAAAAAATGCATTTAATATTCATGAAAAAAATCCGCCATGAGCCGACTTATAAGCCGAGTATTTCTTGTGTATGTGTTTGTGATTTACTGTCAAATACTGAACGTAGCAACTGTTTGTAAAGGGTGATCGTTCCTACCCACTGTTGGTACATGCAAAGGCAAGGTAATTGTACCGAATTGTAAGAACTGTACATGGGATTTCATCTACACTGTAAGGAAGTGGGGAAACAACTATAACGCAGATGAAACACTGACATCATTAAGAGTCACCTTTTGTTATGACACATACAGAGATAATTCAACTGGTTGTATTAATATTCCTGTATATATTTCAGGTATGGATGTGCAACGGAACCCTTGAGATACTCCCGTGTTCCCACGTGGGTCACGTGTTCCGCATGAGAAATCCCGTGAGATGGGAAGGACCCGGAAAGCCTGTTGTGACCAACTCTATGAGGGTAGCGGAAGTATGGCTCGACGAGTACAAGTACTTGTTCTATGAACAGACTTCCTTGATGCGGGTAAGTAAACATCTCTTGACAGATTCGGAAGGTTGTTGTCGCTGTGACATATCACCAATATCCTTTCGTTGCTCTCTCTGTTGTTTAAGCAATGCAAGCACTTTCCATTTACAAACATATCTGGAATAAGATACGAATTACATACTGTTTGTGTTAGGGCAGCAGGTTTGGTGACGTGACAGACCGGAAGAAACTGCGGGACAGTCTTCAATGCCATGACTTCCGCTGGTATATAGAAAATATTTACCCCGAATGTCGCATCTTGACAGTTCTCAATTCCGGAGAGGTGAGTGTTCCAACACTGGCGTGGAAGCTGAAGGTATTACATATAATGAAACATAATATATACTACTCAAAACAAGTTAAGGGTCATGCGATGTCATCTTGTAATGTTATTGATGAGGCTGGTTGCATTATGTATAAATAAAATTTTACTTCCGTGTGTGGCAGTTTATTCAAAACCATTGCAGAACCTGGATAAAGGCTGCAGATAACCGTGGTGCCAATAGTCATCATGTGGCAGGGTGTTAAAAAATGAACAAATTGAAACATCGAGTGCTTCACAGAAGCGCCACCACTGTGCCTGTAAAAGATGATGTTTCATCATGAACAACATGTGCACGTGTTCTTCGTGGGATTAGTGCTGTGCATGCTTATTTTCCCTATAAAACTTGTGATTGTCACATTGTTATTGTCACTTGAAATTCAACAATGGCAAGACGTCAACTGAGCATGACAGACAGAGGAAGAGCTCTTGCGTGGCTTCAAGATGGCGAACCTCAACGCAGTGTGGCTCAGAGACTAAATGTGAGTCAGAGTGTCATTGGAAGGTTATGGCACCGGTTTCGTGTCACTGGAACGCTGAATAATCGACCACGTTCTGGCAGGCCTCCATCAACAACTCCTAGAGAAGACCAATACCTGACAAATATGGCTCTCCCACAACGCACAGTAGCTGCAAGTCAATTCCGTGACCAACTGAGAACTGCCACAAGTACCCTGGTATCTGATCAGACTGTCAGGAACCGACTGACGAGGAACAATCTTCGGGCACGGTGACCAGCAGTACAACCACTGCTCCTTCAGCGACACACGACGGCAAGACATGACTGGTGTAGACGCCATGTTCGTTGGCAACGTGCTCCAGTGGGCATCGGTTCTTTTCTCCGACGAGTCTAGGTTTACTCTACAGTTCAATGATGGTAGAACTTGTGTGTATCGGCGTCCAGGAGGGAGGTTTGCTGACGTTAACGTCAACCAACGTTTGCCATTTGGAGGCGGGGGTGTCATGGTTTGGGGTGCGTTTTCCTTTCATCAAAGGACACCTCTCTATGTCATTAATGGTACCCTGACCGGATAATCTACGGGAGATTATCAGACCCAGTTTATCAGTTTTGCAATGTTTACAATGTACCGGCTTCGGATCCATATTCGAAGGTGGCAATGCCCGACCACACCGTGCCCGTGTTGTGACGGACTTCCGTAGACAGCACAATGTTCAACACATGGAATGCCCGGCATATTCAGCAGATTTATTCCCTATGGAACATGCTTGGGACGAGCAAGGACGTCGGCTTCGTAACAACCACGGCCCTCCAAACAACCGTACAGAACTGGCCCAGTATCTCATTGCAGAATGGCAGACAATACCCTAAGCCTTCTTCCAACGTCTGGTGAACAGTATGAGACAGAGGTGTACTGCTTGTCTTACTGCTCGAGGTGGTTACATCCGTTATTAGTCCAATGTTGGCATTTGAATTTTCACTTCTGACAGTAGGTCACTTTGACCTTATTGATCAGCAATCACTGACATTCCTGCTGTTTTTGTCTCCCGTTATGGTTATCATGAAATGTTGGCTCGAGTTGTTATATGATCGCTACATTTTACTGTTATTTATATTTGTAGTTAAGGCCATTAAAAGTTTTGACCCTTAACTTGTTTTGAGTAGTATAATGACATTTTGCTATAGATATATACATTATTCTTGGTATCGACGTTTCGGGGACCCTTGATCAGATGAACTATATTGAGTTAATGTTTGGATGCTGATATGTTTACACAGTCTGGGTAGGTGTCCCAATCCCAATATACTGACCAGCCTGAATTCCTAGCAATCAACTGACATTCTTCCCACTAAAATCACTCAAAGGGTTAAAAAGGAAACTTCAAGGAAATATTCACATACAGATTTAAACGATATTTTTATTCAATAAATGATCAACGGCTACACTGAGGGAATTACAACATAGCTGTTTCTATTCAATACCCAATGACGGCCTGACGTATTTTCACCAAAGGCCGTAAAATGGGGGTAATTTACAATGTACTATATAACGACGTTTTATCCCTCAACATTTATTCACGCAGCAATTGCCTCGCTTTTAACTATGTGGTATTGGACAATATTTGGAAACATATTTGAAATTGCGTCAGTTAAATTAGATAACACATACACGGTAGCCTTACAGTAGATACATAGTGACACTGGTTTACAGGTTCGAAGCTATTCCAGTCCGACCATGTGCCTGAGTGCTGCCAGCAACAGAACCCCCAGCCTCTGCTCATGTGAGAGCCCTGTTAGAACCAAGGTAGGGACTGTTGGATGCATTTCTCAGCAGCGGCATGTACAGGGTTGCAGGAGCTGAATAAGCATGTTCCACACAACCATTCGCAGTGTGTCTGGAAAAGTATTAAAGTGAATTATCAGTTCGAAATACACAGGACCATTGTTTCATAATTAAACCATAGACAAATCGGCGACATCGTCCTGCGCTGTTATACACAATAGTAACAAATTAATCCCGTAGTGAGGTAAGCCTGACTCTGAGTGAGTGAGTGAGAGTGTGCGTGCGTGCGTGCGTGCGTGCGTGCGTGCGTGCTTATGTATGTATGTGTGTGTCGGGGGGTGGGATGGAGGGTGTTCACGACACGCAGGCGAAAACAATTTGATTGGTTGGAAAAAAATCTTTGTATGTGCGTGCGTGCGTGTGTGCGTGTGTGTGCCTGGCCACAATTTACATGTGCATGCTAGTGCTAGGTAGTGTTTGCTAGCTTGGGTTTGGGATCTTTCAGTACATTAGTGTCTGAAGCAATATGTGGCCAGTCACAACTTGACTAATAATCGATATTTAAGTTTACCTGACGACCTGTCCCCGTAGTTGTTGGCGTGTTGCTAAAAGAGCCGTAAAATCATACTTACTCACTCACATTCATAATGCACGTCCTTGGAATTAGCGCATTAGCCTAATATGTGCTTTACAGATTGAAGGTAAGAAAAATGTAATTTTGTAAATAGATAATCCAGAGTGTATACTAAAGAGTGACATCATAGCTGCATCTTTATTTCCGAACTCTTTAAGTGAGTGTGTGAGTGAGTGAGTGAGTGAGTGTGATTTTACGCCACTTTACCAATCTTCCAGTAATATCACGGCGGGAGACACGAGGAGCGGGCTTCACACATTCTACCCATGTGGTCAATCAGCGTAACGAGCGAACGCTTTAACTAGTTAGCTTCCCCACCGCCCAATTTTAAGCAGTCTTAGCTTATGGTGTTGTGTCATCTTGTCTCATGCATCCTTGTACGATGTTGTGCTTCAGTACTGGAGGCTGCTGCCGTCGGGGGTTTTACAAGATTCCAATCTACAGATACTGTGTGTGATGGAAGGGCAGCTGATTCATCACGAGTGTTACACGAGCAAACTGCACATATGGACATACACGGAGGTACGCATGAATGTGGTGACGTTTCGTGACTACTATCTTCTGTGGCGACGTTTGTCCAGCACATCAACTGGGTTAAATGGGGATGGTTTGACCTTTGTGAGCTCTGTGAACCCCCACCACGTAGGTTTCTGTGAGTTGTGCGTAGCTAAATTTTGTCAGTAGTGAAACGTTCATTCGTAAAAACTCTCTTTATATTCGATTATCTTTGTGCTGAAACGTTTACACATTTTATACACCAGATAATTTCTTGTACTGATAGATATACGACTCAAATCGTTTATCGAACATGAGTTCCTACAGGTTGAATATACCGTCTTAAATAACGTTTGTTTTAATTCGGAAATTGAATAATGTGAGCCTTATGTAATAGAACAATCGAGTATTCGATAACTACATGTGTGACGTCACTATAATGTCAATTGCTTTTCGGTGCTTGACTAAGTTTCACAGATGAACTTCATCACTTTACATTTTGCACAGAAGAAATTATTATACCTCTCAAGAGAATCTGTACTGTGCATCCAGGCGCACAGTACACTGCATCTAAATATATTTTTTAATTATTGAAATATAAAAATGAGGCTCTAGAACTATTAAACGCCTCTAAGACCACCAAGAAGAAGAGGCTGTTCCCTACACGCCATTTTAAACCATCAGATAATGTTGATATTGTCTACTTTCAGGATAGCAACCTGTACCTGAAGACGTTTGACAAATGTTTAACAGTTGGGGACAACTCGTCGGTCCACATGGCGACGTGCGATGGACGTATCAATCAAAAATGGATGTTTGAAAAATCAAAATTTCATGATAATGTATGATATGAGTAATGCTGGGGATTGCAAGTTCCCGTCGGCCACTGTAGCCGCGTTTCGCCGAAACGTCATGAAACGGGGAAAAAACCGGATGGGCGTGAGACAACGTAGGGGGACTGGATGAGCAAACGTGACAGTCCATGATTGCCATGGATGCCGTGCCAGAATTTTAAACTGTTCAAACATTTTTCACGGCAGTCACGGTTCTAAAAGGAAACCTAGTAGGCCGTAATAAAACGGGGAGAACGCAACAAAACGTGACAGCACGTAGGCCGTAACAAAACTAGTAGACGGTCCGTAGTGGCTCCGTAGTGGGACGGGAGGCATATGTATTCCCCGGCATCTCACGGTCCTTTCAAGTTTTGTCACGTTCGGCCACATTGTCTTGCGTTTTGTCACGGTTGTTTCACCCTTGCTGCCCGTTTTGACCCGGTTCTCACGGCAAGCTTGATTGTATGGTAGCCGATTCGTCCCGTTCTATCACGACGCATCCAGGCGTGTGACGGTTTACAGGGCCGGCGAGATACGGCACGTTGCGTTCTCTGGCATTCCCTCTCTTCAGCTGATGCTGGCCTTCTTGCTGACGCAAGGATTCGATGTATGCCCCCAGCAAACATACAAACACAAAATCTTCTTCATTTTGGGGGTTCATGCTGCTCTTGTCTTTGGGGATACTATGGCTGCTATTGCTTGGGAGACGTTATTTTTCATACCGTGTGCACAAACGTGCTCCAAACCTGGCCGGCGTCCCTGTTTCATCCGTGGAAAGTCTTGACAGAACGCACAAAACGTGTCAAAACGTGAGGCCGGGAGGAAACGTAATGGCATCCGTAGTGGACTGCAGGACGAACCGTAGTGCGTCTTTGAGCTTCCAGGACTCAGCAGCCAGCTGATCAAAACGGCCCATTACGGATTCCGTGATTGACCATGAGTGAACTTGGACCGAACACAACTTGACTTTGGTGGAAAACAATTGCCTAATTCCCACGGCACAGAACGTTTCGGGGAAACGGGGCTGATGTGGCCGCCGGGACCATAGTGAAACCTTAGCATAACCATGTGTAACCAAAATGTCATCTAGAATGTGTATGTTTTTATGCACTACTGATGTAACATATGCGACAATCACTTTCTGTTACTATTTGATGATGTCTTAAAACATGCCTTGGCCAACCAATGTGGACGGTGTCCTGAACAGTTCGAATGAACTACAGTGGTTGATGTGATAGCTTGTCTTTATGTGAACGAATGTCAAAATATATTTGTACTACGATATGGATATAATGTTAATAAATTGTAAATTATGTAAATCGTATTGAGCCGTTATCTTTTGTTTTATATTAAAAGAACGTTATAAATATAGACTAGTGCTCAAATGAAACTATACAGCGAAAACTATATTACATACAAATTTCCAAATATAAAAATGAAGTGATGAAACCATACTGAGCCATGTCACACACGTAGAGACCCATCCTTTCTGGGAACAAACGAAACGAATCGCGGCAATCTTAAAACGAGACTAGTGATTATTCATGACAACCTGAATGCTCGAAGATTACAGGAATGAGGGTTTGCGACAAGGAGGCGTGCTGCCGTTAGTCCAGCAACAGCCACGCATTGTCTACCAACACGATAAGGCAAGGCTTCATACAGCAAGACTGACAAACGTTGCTTTGCCGTGGCCATCATGTTCTCCCGACATGCATTCGGTAGAGCACTTATGGGACTAACTGCATCGACACATCAGAAGACTACCAGCGCCACCTGTGACCTCTCAACACAGGTCACACTCACTACTGATTCAAAATTGGATGACATTGTACAGGAAACCCCGCATTGTTAATTTGTGTAAAAGTTCAGACTGTGATACCACGACGTCGTGTCTTAAAACGGTACTTTCAACTTTGTATGAAATGAAAGTTACATTTGCTGTAGAATTGAATACTCTGTTGAAATTTAACAGATCTTCATTCATATATCATGTTTTCTTTTCATGTTTGGTCAAACACACTGGATACGTTCTTTTGAGCACTTACATCGATTAAAGCGATATTAATACTGTATTTAACGGCGTGTCACGAAACATGAACATAATGTAATGAGACACTTCCACCAGATGTGTTAACTTTCCTACCATCCTGCAATCACCAAGGACAGGTGAGGTGAGGTGAAATTGGGTTTAACGTCGTGCTTGAGAGTATTTCGCTCATATGACGACGTGCATGCGTGTGTATGTGTATGTGCGGCTGCTTGTACTAGCCCAGACTGAAGCTGGTTTTATAGTGCTAACCCACTGAGATACCATGCCGCAGTGAAGCATGAATACCCCACTCAGACACATTATACTGACTCCGAGCCGACCAGTCCTTGTTGGACCCATTAATACCGAGCGCCAACAAGTACCATATTTTAACGTCTTTTGGTATGACGCAGTCGGGGATCGAACCCGCGACCTTCCGCTCTCCGGGCGGATGCTCTAACAACTACACCACGGAGGCGGTCACCAAAGACAGGGAATATGACACCAGAAGTGTACTAGTACCCGAAATGCTAAGCTGCATTTGGATATCCATGTGCGACAATGTCCACTTTTGTTCAGCTGTTCATGCATGCCCTACTATTCAAGTTGCGAATCTTTGACTATAAAACCCGCGAAGACACATGGAGATCCGGTTTCGAATTGGTCTTCAGCAACCTATGCTTGTTGTGGAACCGGCTAACGGGATCGGGTGGTCAGACTCGCTGACTTGGTTGACACATGATATCGTATCCCAATTGCATAAATCGATACTCATGATGTTGATCACTGGATTGTATGGTTCAGACTCGATTATTTACAGACCGCCGCCATATAGCTGAAATATTGCTGTGCGCGGCGTTAAAAAACAAACCAACCAATTTAAATTTAAAAAGTCAGTGTACAAAAAGTAACCTCTCTTGATTGTTAACAGACAAGACAAGCACATGGCGGTGCATTTACTGTTCTTGTAGAATATAATATACGCGGTATTTCAGACCCCGGATCTCCCAAGCTGCTTGTGAGGCGCTAAAGGGTTACCGGTCATGTGTCTTATCCCATGGGAACAAACTCACTTGCCTAGGGTGAGATCACATATGTCACATATGCCAAACACTATATGTTGCAAAATGAATTTACATTGATTGATGATGACTCTAATAATATTCTAAATAAAGAGATAACAAATAAATGAAATAACAAATGCATCATCAGCTTTAAAACTTGGCAAAGCATGTGGTCCTGCTGGACTACCTCCAGAAATGTGGAAACACGGAGGTAATATTTTACTACCTTATTTGCATGTACTAATTGTATTGTTTAACTCGGGAGACTTTCCTTCTGCTTGGTCACAGAGTATTATCTTCCGACTTCACAAGAAGGGGAACAGAAATGATGTTAATAACTATAGAGGTATTTCCTTGATGGACATATGCGGAAATATATTCACTTATATTTTAAATGAAAGACTGAAAGCATTTGTTGATGTGTATAATTTAAATCCAGAGTGTCAAGCTGGATTCCGCTCAGGCTATTCAACTGTTGATAATGTTTTTACCTTACATGCATTAATTCAAAAATACTTGTCCAAGTCTAAGGGTCGATTTTATTGTTTATTTGTTTATTTTCATAAAGCATTTGATTGTGTAAATAGAGATCTATTATGGTAATACTATGTTCTTTGTCAAAACAATATTCGTGGTAAAATGCTTTCAATAGTGCGTGATATGTACAATAAATCAATTTCAGCTGTAAAACTATCAAATTCTAGCATTTCAGAATAGTTCAATTCCTTGAGTGGTGCACGACAAGGATGTATACTCAGTCCATTATTATTTAGTAAGTTTGTAAAACAACTTGAAGAGGATCTTACATCGTATGACGAAAGAGATATTTTTGTTGGAGAAGAATTTTTAGAGCTCTTTTTATTATTCTATGCTGATGATTTATGTATATTTTCTGACACAGTTATAGGTTTACAAAAAAAGATTAATATTTCATCCAAATTGTGCACAAAATGGGGCTTAAAGGTTAATTTTACAAAAACAGAGATAATTGTTTTTCGCAACGGAGGTATAGTGAAGAAGACCGAAAAGTGGATGTTTAACCATGTGAAGTTGAAAACTACATGCTATTACAGCTATCACGGTATTTTATTTTCCAGCAGACTATATTGGTCAAAAGCAGTCCAGACTCTCGTTCAGAAAGCTAATAAAGCCCTTTTCCCAATTAAACAGCTTCATCATAAAATGAAAAATCTTTCTCCTACTGTCTTATTTCAAATGTTTGATACACAAATTAAGCCTATCTTATTATATTGCTCGGAAATATGGGGTTTTCAAGAGTGGCTAATGCTAGAAAGATTTCATGTAAAATACTGTAATTATGTTCTTGGTGTTGGTATTACCACAAGAAACGCAGCTGTTTTATCTGAATGCGGTCGTCATCATATATGTTGTGATACTATAATAAGATGTGTTAAGTACTGGTGTACATTCTTAATTATGGAAGAGACTAGACATCCAAAACAAACCTATATTATGTTAAACAGAATGGACGATATTAACCGCAAGTCATGGATTACTGAAGTGAGGAAATTAAATTATATTTATGGGTTCAGCATGGCGTGGGAGTTTCAAAATATTGTTAACACTGACTTATTTTTTAAACAGTTTTCTCAACGAGTTAAAGATTGTAGCATCCAGTGTATAGTTTCTATGTTAAATGAACATTATAATTTAGAGTTCTATTCATGTGTCAAAAGTACGTTTAATATGGAATCATACTTATCAACATTATATAACAAAGATTTAAGAAGATTTTTATCTCTTTTCAGATTCGATGAATGAAATATTATGAGGAATACAGGTAGAAGAAATAATATCCCAAGAGAATTAAGATTTTCCAATTTTGTAAGAACATTTTAGAAGATGAGGTTCATTTTATGTTTATTTGCCCACAATATGATGATTTAAGAACAGGATACATGTTAAATATTGACTGTAAAGATAGAAACTCTCTAATTCGCCTTCTTCAAAATGAAAATAGCAATTATTTATATATGTATGCAAATTATATTACGGAAGCGTTTATGCGACGTAGCGCATTATTATTTTGAATATATAAAAATATGTTCTAGTTATTGTGCACATCATACCTTTTGTATTGTAATATATATTGTACATGGGCCTGTAGCCTTTCTACTGAATAAAGTTATATATATGCTTAATTGTGGGGCAGGATTGACGTCTCCAGAATCTCTTTCTCCTATTTGGAGAATAAATCATATCCGCGCGTTCATGATTCGCTATTAAACAGTGATAATGCCATGTATTCACACGAATGCTAATAGGCGCCGACCAGCATAGAGTCATATAACCCTTATATAGAACAGGGGGCGGTGGGGTAGCCTGGTGGTTAAGGCGTTCGCTCGTCACGCCGAAGACCCGGGTTCGATTTTTGGTGTCCCCCTCCGTGATATTGCTGGAATATTGCTAAAAGCTGCGTAAAACTAAACTCACTCACTCACTTTTATAGTACATTGAGTGGGTGTTTCTCTCATTTGCCGATATTATCATTTTTTTACCACGTCCTATCATGGAATAATCGGACGAAGAGTTTACAGTTAAAATATGGTGATGATAATCAAAGATAATGATGAGTTATAAAACAAGGGTATTATCTGCGAGTGTTATCTACAAACTTTCGCCACATTTGCATGTATCAGTTAGCAACTAAATTCAACTCAATACCCATATGTAATATGTAGTGTATTCCGATAATGATTATGACATGTGTTCAGTACTTCATATTCTCTCCTCATACACACGATCCATCAATACTGTGTTCGACACCAGTCTGCATCAGCTGCAAATGGTATAGCACTGCTGGGTAGTGTAACACGTGCTCAGTTAAATCGCCCTATCACAAGTTATCGACAACAAGCCATCTGAAATGTGTACCCTTACTGTGATCGAAGGGCTGCTCATTGTATGATCTGACATCTGCTGCCGGCTCTCACAACACTCCCCAGGTAATATGTCAAAAACTAAGTATTAATATTTGGAGGACGTTCTAAGTAGGTCGTATGATGTGAGGTAATTATATACCGATGCACTTTAATTGTGATTGTTTGTTATTTTGCTGCATGATCTAAACTATTCATAACTGTATTTCTTCAACATAATAGCATTCCCATTGGTAATTTGATTTATATATTCAGGATGTGTGAAATGATCCCTAATGGCAGACACCATGTTGGCGATGTCGATACACTAGAGTTATGATACAGC